CACACACTGTCACATGTATAAAACGCGCGAACACTCTTCCTATCTATATTTAACACACATGAACTATTTATTTATGATGGAAGAATAAGGATTTATGATACCGTACGTACAGTACCTACACCGGATTTTTCCATTCCAAAGTGAGTAACGACAAAAGAGACAATTGTGAAGGTTTACGACTTTAAATTTATTGTGATGTTTCTATGCACGTTGAGACCAAGTCGGCTATGCTAGCCTATGTAGGGCCTAGGCATGTCTAAATATATTACATAGGCCTAGGCCTGACAACTAAATGTTATAAAGACGTTACAAAACAACGATAATTCAACAAACAACACATACATGAATGTAGGTACTGTTGTAGTTGTAGTCTAGGCCTAACAGTATATGTATAATTCATTGAGAATTCACCTCGTTTACTGTACCATATTTATTTTCTCGCGAAAGGCCACCTTATTTAAGTTATTATTAAGTGTGTTCTGTTTTTTGCTTTTTTTTTAGGTGTAGGTACTGTACGTACGGTATCATAAATCCTTATTCTTCCATCATAAATAAATAGTTCATGTGTGTTAAAAATGGATAGGAAGAGTGTTCGCGCGTTTTATACATGTGACAGTGTGTGCGCGCGTAACAAACAAAAGATAATTTTGTAATAAAGCGCTAGCTAGAAAAACGTATTTTTTATTCAGTCATTCATAGCGCAAGGACAAAGACATGGATATGCCAAGGTAGATATAGGCCTTTGTAGAAACTTGAACCATGAAGGCGAAATTTTCGATCTCCCTGGCCTTCAGACAGTAAAAAAGGCAATTAAAACCAAAAAACAAACAACCTACGCTAAATACGGCTACGGACTTTTGCAAGATTTGTTTAAAAGATGTTCAGCCGTAAACAATGAGAGGTACCTGTATGTAAGTGATATTACTTATTGAATTACAGTCATAGGCCCACCAGGCTAGACCTAGCCTAGGCCCTACTACTAATCAAAACAGAAAAAAAAATGGCGGCACGTGTAAATTAACAAATGCAACTGGGAATTTGAATTAGGTCTTGGCCTATAGGCTAGAGGGGCCAGGGAAGTTAAGACCACCTCATCCCCATCATTGATTAGGGCGACTGTAGAAGACTCTTGGGATACAAGTAAACAAGTAATGCGAGGATCCCGAAACCCGGTACTTAGCATAGGCTACTTGTTGTTTTATTTGCCGTACTAGGCCTCAGGCCCTAGCCTGGATGGATTCTTTTTCTCACTGGACTTGATCGTCTCTGATTTTTAATAGTAGACACAGCAAGTCTCTCAGAGCTAGGTGAAGTGATCATCCACGAAGTGAGCACACGAATTCTTTTGACTTGTTGTGCTCATCCGGCCCATAAAAATTTGAATTGTAAAATTGACAAATTTAACTCAACAAGGTCTTTTACTATCTTTAGGTAACGTAAAATATTTACTTCGTGTGCACTTATAACCCCCTACAACACAATTTACTGGCATATTGTGTAAAACTCGGGAAGCTATGTAATATACTAACAGCCTAGGGTAGAAGTTCGGGCTTTTCTTCCTCCGCTAGGCCACCGTCGCAGTTTTTGTTTTGATTTCGCGCTTGGATGAAGTTTGGCAAAGTCGGTCACCAATGACGTCATTGAGTGACCTCTTTGTTTCTAAGGTCTTTCAAAAATGACTCTTCAAACTCATTTTTTCGTACAAAATCAATTTTATTCGTAATATATGACCAACACTTGTGTTTATAATGTATTTATAAATATAAACACGCTGTAGTTTATAAAAATTGTCAGAATAGGTGGCAGACCTAGGCACTTTAAGTTTTATCTGTGCTGTTGTGTAATTACAGTGCTATATTTGACTTTTTAAGCATTAAGCATGTGTAATAATTCCTTAAACGCTTTCTTTTAATTCTAATTTAACTTAATTTAAATTTTGCTTTTATATTCTTAAATGTTCAAATTACTTCATTTGGTTTCTATTTATGTACTGTATACTGACTGAAAATTCGTTAAAAGTGTAACCAGGGCGTTGGCTTGCTCTGCTGCATTCTCGGACCGATGACGTCGGACCTTCGTCGGGTGGTGGGGCTGTCTGGGTGCTGGTGGTCTTACCTCGATCAACATTCAACGACAGGGAGGACGGCTAGCATTCGGCTGGCTGCGTTACCTAGCGGGGGCCCGGTGGCGTCGGTTCGGGGCGTTGCGGGATGGGTTAGCGTCATGGTTTGCTTTGCACGACTTTTCAAACCAGTCATTCTTGTTTTGTTTGTAGTTTATTTTAAGTGTTTAATTTGATTGGTGGGTGGGCAATAATGTTATTTGAGTTATCTGTAAATCTCTCATAATTAAGAATTTATTTTTTTTAAATTTCTACTGCTTTGTTCTTTTCTGGATGCACCGTTAGAATTTGTCTAACGTGTGCCACTGTTATAAAAGTGTTATCCAATAAATATT